GTTTATTGAATCATCAGCATTGCATGAAAAATAAGCCTTTTAATAAAAAGTTAGGTTAGGTTAAGTCCTCATTTGACCTAAACATAACTTAATGATTAAGTTATTATTTAAAGATTTTACGAAAAAAAAAAAAAAAAAGATTATGTAGTAAATTTGTAACCTAGAAAAAAAATGTCTGATGAATTCTTAAATTTTTTGAATTTGCGTCTAATAACTGTTTGGCTCCTTCAACATTCTTTTTAAATTTATGAAGTTGATGAAGCAAAACCTGCATTCATAAGTTGAGCTTTCGACTTGGGCCAAAAGGTCTCTAGTCCTATGCTTAGGTTGACAAGCTGAATTAATCATGTGAAAGTCGAGTTTTCCTATTCAATTATTTTAAGAACTTACTATTCATACAAGCATATTTTTTTTGATGGTGCAGCCTTGGATCTTTTACAAGCATATGGTTTCAAGCTAACAGAGACAGTTGAATCCTAACTAGACGAAAAATGATCTGATCAACTTGTTAAATAATATATAAATGAATGGATGTTTACTTATATTTAAAATTGTGGTGTTGTTTTGAATTGCAATAAAATAGATATAATTATAATAATATTCTTTTACATTTCTAATTAATTGAAATGCAGTAACTAAAAATATGTTACAACAATTAAAACTCTATTTTTAAATTTTATTTATTTATTCAAGTTTATACACTTAAATTAAATAAAATAGTTGTTATTTTTTACTTGGTTATCTAATTCACATTTCAGTTTCAATTTGGAGAAGACACGAAATCTTGATATATTGATATATATTTTTTCAGAAGTAAAAAAAAAAAATCTATAATTATTTGATTTAATAAGATAAAATTATTTAATTTTAAAATGATATTTTTGTAATAGACCAAACTTAAAAGTAAAAGTGACTTATCCGATTTCGAACATGTAAGATAAAAACGTCTTCATATCGATATAATCAAAAGTCACAATAAATTTTACTATGAGAAAAATTAGTGTTACAAATATGACTTTCCAAAGATGAGTCATTATTGTATCATATCAACTGAAGCAAAAACAGATGAAAAATAAGTTATTTATGTATAAGTTTATCAATGATTTTATAAATCAATAGATTGGTATTGCAAAATGCAAACACAATTATTCATAATCACATAGGATTGAAAGATTACGATTCCAAAGACTCAAACAAGCCCTTTGTGTAGTACAAAGGCTATATTATATTGTCCAGAATCGTGCAAATAAACAGCATTCCTATTAGGTTACAGTGTTGGCGTTGGTCTACAAACTCCAAGTCAATCACAACACTGGTGACAAATATTATGTTCTAAAGCCTAAGAAGAAAGAACCAATGAAGTTAATTGCTTCTCCACATCTTCCCAATTATAAACCTTTGTCACTAAGGGGGGCAGATCCTCCGTCTCCGTCTTGCACCATGGATACGAGTTCTCATAGTCAAAAAGCAGAACTCGAATTCCCGCTTCAGCGCATTCGATCGCATATCTTGGATTATCATCAATTAGCACTGTTGCTCCAAGTGACCTGCATCATGTGAGATCGTCCACAATAAAATACTACTACTGCAACTCAATATAGCTTAACTCATTAAGACGTATATCATCAACAACTCAATGATTTGAATACTATCCATACATGTTGAACATAACAAATGTTGTAACTTGAATGGATGATTCATGGGAAAAATAAGTGTTATAAAAGTGTAAAGATTTGTTGTCATACTTGCATATCTCTTCCTTTGATCTAGACACTCCATCCAGAGCAAAGTGGTTTCCAAAGTGAATTTCCTGAAACAGTCCTGGAAAGTGCTTCTCAATCCACTCCAGTGTGTGTTCTTTGATTGCATTTTGTCGAGACCTGAAATTAGATCAAATGAGATAAGTTCACATCATCTATTGGGAGGGATTAGTACCACGTCAAAATGATCCAATGTAGCTATACATACGTTACGACTGACAGATGACAGAATCTTGATAACTTGAGAAGCGTGCTCTGCGCACCCGGTATAGGCCAGATTCCAACCTTGAAATACGGTGTCTTAAAGAACTCATGAACACGATGATTAGCTGGAACAAAGCAGGGAAACAAGTTTCAAAACCAATTAACCAAGTAGAGACGCATTTCCATGGACAGAAATATCTCATAAAACAGCTTCAAGAGCGTAAAGATCACATTGTGTTTCATTATAGACTGCAAAGTTCTCCCAAAGAAGTGAAAAGTTACAAAGGAAGTACCATCTCAAACCATTTTTCTTTCGGAATTCTCACTAAAAAATAGAAATTTTCTTAGCTAAATTTTGTCAAGAAAAACATCAAGAACAGAAATACTATTTTGTAACACCAGCACTAACAAAACTAAAATCATATGGTTTTCCAGTGAGAATGGTCCAGATTTTAAAAAAAAAAAAAAAAAAAAGTTGAATACAATACTGGAAGGTCCAATGATTTAACTAAAAAAAAGGTCAAAGAAACCAACCCCTTAGATGCTTATCTTGCCTCATACAAAAGCAAATCGACAATTTCAAAATCATAAAACGGGAAAAAGAAAAAACGATAGAGATCAAATTTTAACTTTCTCAGAACCATACAAACCAAATTTTTTTTATTTTTTAAAGAAAAACTATTGGTCTGAGAAGCACATGCAACCATCAATCAGTCAAATGTATGACCCACTCAGGAAAACCAATAACCATTATATGATCCTATGGCCATCTTGATACAGATGACAAGTCATTAAAAGCCAAATCTCAAAAAGTTGTACCTTCATCACGTGAGCACTTCCATATCTGAAACAGAAACGAAGGTCTAAATCAGAATGGTGCAGGTTAGATATTCCCCAGGGCAACTTCAGGACTATTACACTAAGAATCTTAAGGGAACCCCATCAAATAAAAAACACAAAAACATAATTATACCCTGAAGAATTCATAGACATGATACTCCGAAACCGAGTGATTTGAAGAATAACGATCAGCAACAAACTTGTTAAGAGCTGAGACAAAGTTCCCCAAAACTACAAGATAGCACGACAACAACAGATACAAATATCAAATCAGAGTACTGAGTAAACAATCATGTACAATAATTTATTAGCACAACCGAATTCTCATCTCACATCAAGTACAGAGAATAAGTAGCCATATTAGCACATGAAATGGTCATGCAAAGTCATAAACAATGTAGTGTAGCTGAAATCTGTCATCTCAGGCATGTCAATCATCAAATTAATTAATTAATTAATCTAAGCCAACAATTCCATGAATTTAGTCATTTGGATTAGATCAACATACAAGATCTCAAGTGGGCTTTTCATGTCTTTGTCACAATGCACCAGAACGCTCGTGAACACAGATATCAGAGGTAGAAGAAGAAGAAGAAACGTTACAGTGAAGAAGTAAGAGAAACAGAAATGAAAATCCAGGGAAGGAGATAAGAAATGGGAGAGGAAAATACGAACCCTCATCGACGTCAACAGCAACAACAAGCTTTCCCCTGGAAGAAAGATCATGGAACGTTAGAGGATTTCCCCATTGGGGCTCCCCCTGAACAGTAGTAGAATATCTGCGATCAATACCATCAACTAAATCGATCTCGACATTGTTAAGAACCTGTGGACGACGAACAGGTGTTGGGCCCTTAGCATTGGTTCCCAACGAACCATTACTGCAGTTATCTTTGTGGGATTGAACGCAAGCTCTTAGACCAAACCGATTGCATCTATTTCTCCGAAAACTACGAAGAACAAGCTCCGCAGAAATAGGAAATGCGCAACAATTTTCGAAAAGCAATGGTTGAGAAGGGCGATGCGATTGCATATGAAAATGAGACGAACAAAGATTTCGCGTCAAGGAATGAGCCGCCATTAATGGAAATCAAGCATAGTACAGCATTCGTTGGAACGAGCCTCGACGATTTAACAAAAGCTTCTTCAAAGACCACTCTCACATTTCTCCACCGCCACAAGAACAATAAACAATTAGCATAGTTTAAAAGCAAAAACAACAAAAATAAATACGGGGGGAAACAAAAATAACAATATAATTATACAAAGAATAAACGACAGAAATCCCTAATGAAATAAAACAATAGAAAGAAAGAACCAGTTCGATCACTCAACCTGAAAAATCACGCACAAAACCTATCAAACAATTCAATCAAAAGGGAGAACCAGAATGATTGTTGAGAAAGCCAAAGCAGACCTGAATAATCGAGTATCAGGCGCGAGAAAGTGGTGATTGGAAAATCAAAAACTTCGAGCCCTTGTTTGTTAATGATGTGAGCGCATTCCGAGATTCGCTTAATTGAGAGAAGCTGTTGGTCGCGTTTTTGAGCTGAAACGATCGATTCTTTCGTTGTATGAACTTGAATCGCGAACAGAAGAGAAAAGAAGAGAAGATAAGAGAAATGAAGGGATTGAAGAAGAAGAAAAGGATTGGAGGTTGATGAATTAAGGAAGGAAGGCGAGGGTGCAGTAGTCCCCATTACATAAACAATGGCTGAATTTATAAAATTGTCCATTGGAGAAGGGAGGGATTTTAGGAGAGATTCCTTCTCCTTCGTCTTGGGATCTCATTGTCATTATCATCAACTTCAACAAAGATCAAAAATAAATCAAAAAAAAAAAAAAAAACGAAAAATTAAAAGGAGCGTTCTAATTTATGGGTTTTTATATCTTTTTTTTCTTTTCGATCTGTATTGAATCAACCCGATCAACTCATTAACCCGAATTAGGTTCCCTACTCTATTTATTATTATCAAATATTTTATATTTAAAATTTATAAGATTTTAGCTAATAAATCAAAAGATTTCTTCGACAAAAAAAAATATTAGGTAATTTTTTAAAAAACATTAAAATATATATATATATATATAGAATTCAACGACACTATGACGAGACAACTTATTCTAAGAAAGGACAGAGAGAAAAGGGAAGGGAAAGATTGATCCATCGAGTAAAGTAAAAGAGAACAAAAATCATTTAAGCAAATTATAATGTAAAGTTCAATTTTGTCACGCTATTTAAAATTTCCACATAAGCATTGTCTTGTCATCGTGTAGCGTGTTACAACTCAACGAGTAACACATATCACCAAAAGGTAAAAGATTTAAATCACATCTCACCCACAAGTTGTTGAACTCAATTTGGTCAACCTTCAATTCAAAGAATCCATCGAATGTTCGACTGACCAATCCATCGACGATATAACCAAACCTCTATAATAGTTTCTCATTAGTTGCAAAATTCTCCATGCGTGTTCCTTTACGCGTTCTTTAAATAATTTCACGTGAGAATCACTTAATTCTACCATATTAATGCATACTCATAAAAATTAAAAGATTTATGGTCTAAAATTCTTGGGATAGTAAAAGAAAATTTCTAGAGACAGCCCACAGTTTGGGAGTAGCAGTCTTAGGCATCACTAAAAAAGAGGAACAAAAGAGAAGTAAAGGCGGTGGTGCAGAAATGATAGAAGTATTTACTAGAATAATAGGTGATGTGGGCTGTTGCTTCTTCACTCTCCTCCCACCATCTTCTCTCGTATCTTATATTGCAAAGAAGCTGGAGCACAATCCAATGGCGTTTCTCCTGTAACCGTGGAAACAATGAACCATTATGCAAAATATCTCACCACTTTTCTAACATGTACTCACACGCCTCTAGATTCAAGATTCTAGCAAATTTCTTGCTTAATCTGCATCTTAAATATCGGAACATTCCTCGTCAACCTGAGTATAACTCAATTGGCTAAGTCATATCTTCGACCAAAGGATTGTGGTTCAAAGGAAGAAAATAAAGGATCGGTTAATAATCATCAATGTCGCTGTAATTTAGAAAGCTACCCATACTTCGTGGCTTTCAGACACCACCAGACCAGAATGTTATACTCCTGGCAGTAAGTGCAATAACAGCCCAGGTCCACCGCGAGTAGAAATTGTTTTCTTTGGGCTTTCACTTTTGGGTTTCACCTCAAGGTGTTTAAAACACGTCTGATAGGGAGAAATTTTCACATCCTTATAAAAAATGTTTCGTTCTCCTCCCCAACCGATGTGAGATCTCACCATCCACCCCCCTTTGAGACCCAACGTCCTAGTTGATACTCGTTCCCTTCTCTAATCAATGTGAGACCCCCAAATCCACCTCCTTCGAGGCCAAGCGTCCTTGCTGGCACACCGCCTCGTGTCCATCCTCCTTCGAGGCTCAGCCTCCTCGCTGGCACATTGTCTGGTGTCTGGCTCTGATACCATTTCTAACAATCCAAGCCCACCGTTAATAGATATTGTCCTCTTTGGGACTTCCCTTCAAGATTTTTAAAACGCGTCTACTAGGGAGAGGTTTCCACACTCTTATAAAGAATGCTTCCTTCTCCTCCCCAATCGACGTGGATCTCACACAATCACAGAGATACTTGCTACAGTTATTCTTTGCTTTAATCGCCAAGCTTAAAAGACAAGGGGGATAGAACTGATAAGCAAGGGTCGTTTGAAATTTGTTCTCAGAAGAGTTTCTATTTTCAGACAGTTTTTTAAACACTCCCAATTCTCAAAGTCCCGACCAAAAGCATTCGTGTAAAGAAACAGTGACAAGAAGTTACCTTGAGCATTTTTGTAGTCCAGGCTAGCACCACTTTCAATGAGGGCAAAAACAATATCAGTCTGATTAAAGACGGCCGCCTACATCCAAAACAATACCAGTCTTAATATCATAACTCTAAATCGATATCATGCCATATTCTGATGGGGTGGGGGGAAGAGAGAGATTCTACCACATGCAGCAAAGACAATCCTTGCTTGTCATGGTAATTTGCATCTACACCCTGCCAACATGAGAACAGTAAATAATTCCATTACATATTTTGGTTTTCATAAAGGCATTTAGTACCTCACTCAAAAGTTTCTTGACAGCATATGTGTCACCATTCTTGATTGCTTCCCTCAACCCCTGCAAGAACATGAAATTCTAGAGATGAAACAGAATTTAAAAGCCTTTGATAGACACCAAATTTTTTTTATCATACACACTATATACCTCGCCACTTGCTTCATAATTGATCCTTGATTCATCTGCAGGATTCCTATTCAATAATATAAATTACAACTGCATATTAAGATCGGACTTATCTACCAAATCAACAATACCAACAATGATAAAGTAGGGTAATTTGATACCTAATACATACGCAAGAAAGTAAGCAATGAGAAAATGTGTCACTTGACCCAAGTCATCATTACAAGAAATAATGGATAGCATACGAAAAACGCTATTGTAGACTTTTTATAGCGTTTTTTTAAAGCTATAATAGATACTGTTTATAGCGTTTTTTTAAAGCCATAATAGATGCTATAATATAGTATAAAACTATAGCTTATATAAGTTGTTATAAAAATATTTCATAGCGTTTTATTAAAGCTATAATAGGTAGAATATAGCTAAAATATTATGCTATCTTTTATCTTTTAACTTATTGTAGCATTTTTTTAACGCTATAATACCATATTCATAGCTTTAATTTTATACTAACGTTATTTGATCATTTTGTTAATTATATTTGGAGTGCGATAAACTTACTATTTGAAGGAGTGTGATAAACTTACTTTTCCCATATACTGGGCCAGAAAGGGAAGACAGAATCTAACCTATTGGAATAAAACAGCTCCAGATAACATACCGAAGCTTGCTGTTGGAAGTAGATCCTCTATTCCTTAGATTGGAATCAGTCTTCTTTGCTTTTGAATTGTTCTGAGTAGAGGTGGAAGCTGTTTTCTTCTGCCAAAAGAATAATCAAGTTCCATAAGGGACACGGCTGATACACAAGGAGCATAAAAAATTATTAAACATTAAAACCTGCAAAGGAACAGATTCTGTTTCCGTAGACTGGACTGGAGCGACACAAATGCACAATGGCATTCCACAATTACAATCTGAAATGCTCAACGCAGGTTGATGCTCCACAGCAGACTTAGGCTCAGAATTTACATTCCCATCAAGGTTTAATTGAGAAACTGTATCTGCAACTTGATCAACTACAGCTAACGACGGTAACGACGGTGGCCGACCAACTTCTCTAGATCTGTAATAGGGCAAACTCGATAAATAAGATGCTAGTTTTTCAAAAATATGGCAGGTGCTAAACAGTAAATAATAAGTTCAATCTCAGCATAAAATTTGGAAACTCCAAGGATGCGTCTAAGACGAGAGCAGGAATTTAGGAGCAAACGAGAGAAGGCAAGGACTTTCCAAGTCTGTATATAATTTTTTTTTCAATGCCTAATTCCAAGAGGAAGGAGCTGATGGCTGATCTAAGAGCTTTTATGCTTCATCCAACAGGCAAAAAGCCTTCATATCACTCACTAACATCCAACTACCTCATTATTGGTGGTTTTGAAATTCTTTGAGCCTTTAAAGAGTGTTCAAAGAATGTTTTAGAATGTTTATTTCGATTGCACTGATTCGAAGAGAAAAATGATTAGGAGCTGGAAATTTCATTATCGATGAAAGTGGGTATGAGAAAATTTTAATGGTGTCTTCACAAGAAAGCTAAAGAAACAAGAAATAGAATATAAAAGAGTTGCAGGCTTCAAGAACAACATGCGTTTAGGCCCCGGCTTCAAGAGACAAGGACCAAAGGTTCTAACTTTTCTTGAATATAGACAGGTTCCAAAAATTCAAAAGTTTTGGATTCTTTCTCGCAACAATTCAAATTCTCCGCTAACAGATATTATCTGCTTTAACCCGTTACGTATTGTTGCCAGCCTCACAGTTTAAAAACGTATCTGTTGGGGAGAGGTTTCCCACACCTTATAAGGAATGTTTTGTTCTCTTCTCCAACCAATGTAGGATCTCACAATTCACCCCCTCAGAGCCCCAGGGTCCTTACTAGCACACCACCCGATATCTAGCTCTGATACCATTTGTAACAACCCAGCCTCACCGCTAGAAGATATTGTTTGCTTTGGCCCATTATATATTGCCGTCAGCCTCACAGTTTTAAAACGTCTGTTAGGAAGAGATTTCTAAATCCTTATAAGAAATGTTTCGTTCCCCTCTCCAACCGATGTGAGATCTCACATTCTCGTACAACCTAAATCCTTGATACAAGAACGTCCGATCCCAGTTAAGATTTTTAAGTTTCTAGTCGTTTAAATGCTAGAACATGAAACTTCCAACAAGAAAGTTCGAGTTCAAGAAGTTGCAAGAAAATATTCAAGATTACATTTAAGAAAATATCTCATGCCAACTTTCTATTTCAGTTTCAACTCACGCACTTTAATTCTGAGCTTCAGAACGAAATGAGTTATCAAACTGGAGTTGAGAAGTAAAACTTCGGCTCGATAAAATCCTTTCTAGTATGACCAAAGGTCGTCTCAAAAGACTTCGCTTGAAATTCAATTCCAGTAACAGCTTCGGAATAATTTTTCAAGTAAAAAAACTACGGCGGAGTGTATGATTAAATTTTAACACGACTTACTGAGAGGAGTTATTGAAACAGTCAGCACAAACTCTAACAGAGGCACGAATATCGAACTGCGGCAAGGCCTGAATTTCTCACAAACAAGTATATACATACACCAGTCAGAACGCAAAAAATTCTCCATTACGGCATCAACGAGGAAGAGGAATCAATAATACCATTTGAAAAGAAGAATGTTCGTGGCACAACGTCCTTCCACAGCATCGGCAATGATGCTGTAAACAAAGATAAAAACACAGAAAATCATCTAATTTCGCGATCGAAAGCTCGAAAGCACGAAACAGAATCGAAATTGATCATCGTTGCATTAGCTCAATCTAAACTATTGCAACGAAGTCGATCATAGAGCAAACAGAATTTGGTACCCGTCGTCGGAAGGTGTTGAAACTGCATTTGCAGACTTCACAGCGCGCTGCTTCCTGGAAGGGAGGAGGCTCCGCCAACATTTTTGTGATCTCCGCCGCTCGATCCTCTCGATTCCCCAACTCTTCTATCGATGCTTCCGATTAATTTTAACTGCAAGAAACCACCGTCTTATCCGCCGGAGTGCGGTGATACTCCTACCGCTGAACTCAGTCAAATGCTCCGTTTTGCATAGCTCAGAAGGGAAACTGGTAGCGGATCTCCTCAAGAACTGGCGCTGCAACTCTTTATAATAAATAATTTTAAATAAATTAAATGTATTATCCAAATAAATAATCAAATCATCAAAATTCTTATTGCCAAGTTAAAAAATGAAATTTTCTTCCTCTTTAAATCTTATTTGTCCAATATTTATTTTATTTTTATTTTTATTTTTAAATATTTAAATTCCTATTTATTAATTTTATCTTATTTGTCTCAATATTTATTTTAATTTTAGTCCTTATTATTGATTTTCTGTATATAAAAAAAAATCAATGAATTAATTGAGTTGAAGTAAGAAAAATTAACCCATTAAAGAGGATTTGCATTTACCTTTATTTTATAGACAATTAAAAAGCCTCAAAATGGGTTAATATTTTTGGTAAATTATGAAAAAAAAAAATAATTTTAACCTTTGTTTGTTTGAATATGCTTGCTCGTAAACTCCCATCCACCTTCTCCTAAACCTGAAGGCACCGAAATGGTAGAATAAGACAAGACGATGGAGGTTGACTGAAGATGATGGCACACGACGTTCAGAACCAACCTTAAAGTGAATGAATTTGAAAAAACGAAAGCGCAAAATCATCTCGAGGCTTTCAAAGACATCTGAGCAATTGGAAGGGACCCCTAAACTCGTGAGAAGGAGAAGGGTTAAGATACAAAGGCGGCCTCAAATCTGCTCGTAAAGACAAAAGACAAATCCTTTTAACCTTTGAACATTCAACAGCCTACGTTACTTTCCCTTTCCTTGTTCAGATGATTACACAGATAGACCTGATGAACAAAGAGGGCAGCACAAGCACTACACACCATACAAAGTTGGAAGGCACATCAAAATCAATTTCACAGACCTGAAAACACCAATCAACATAACATAGATTATACAAAAACAAACAAATTCGTCAGTTATGGTTTATGACTATCACTAGACATGCTCGAGGAAAGCGCCCCCTACCAGTTTTTCATCATCGTACGTTCAATGTGAGCTACGTAAAATTCCATGCATGTAACCTCCAGTCATTATAAACGACACGAGAGATACGACACCGGCTGGAAATATCTTCCCAGAATTCTTGAAACGAGATCCCATCACTACCAAAAGTGAAGCTGATAGGCCTGTAGATTAAGAAATAGATTTTGAAATAATAGTATGAATAAAAACAGAACTGGAACATTGGTTTTCCTCCCTAGAGTAGTCTTATTTCCATGCTTCTGCACACCGTTTGAACAGATCAGATGGCATGTTCTTTCTAGGACTTCTTAAAACAATGAGTTTATGTATAATCATTGTAAACTGCTCATATGCAAGAGGAAATATTAAAATGAAACTAATCACTATTTTGCATAACCTACACATTATACAAAGTTTTCATCCACGATCCAGGATCGAACAGTGATTTTGAATACGACAAAAGTGATTTAAGCCATTTTAAAATCACACCCAAACATTAACTATGAGAAATCTGAAAGCCTCCCTTGGACCAAGCTCATTACAAAAGTCTCAATATTTACCTTATATTTCGTTAGCCATCATATTCCCAAGTTTAAAACCAGTAACTATCGAGTCCCGCAATTAACACTCGCGGAAACTCCAGCTACCCCTATAGCAAAGAAACCAACTACTCTAGACGCCTACACTGCTCATAACTTAGGTATCATCTTGTCCTCAAGATGATGAATATGGGATTGTGAATCTTAATGAAAGAACTATATAACTTCAGTCAATGCCCTTCCTTATCAAGGCTGGTTTTGGTCTCGGGTACGGACGGTCATCTCAGCACGATGTAAGGTGATTGTAGTTTCCTTGTGTTGCCACTACAAGCAAGCTACAATTAAGGTTCCCAATGTGAGAGCTAAACAACTGATTTTCCTCAACAAAAAACCCCAACAGCACAACTTTGGCTATAAAAACTATAGATAAGAAAGGTGAACTGTGAACACAACTAACCAAATTCTACACTCAAAATCTCAGAATTTAGAAATAATTTGAACCATATATCCATAATGTAGGTCCACATTCAAGACTCACCAAAAGAAGTTGGCGAGTAGTATGTGGCTTTTACTAGGAACAAATGAAAAGAATTAGTCCCAACACAACTGTGAGATCTCACATCCATTGGACAGAGGAACGAGTGCCAACGAGGACGCTGGCCCCGAAGGAGGTGGATTGTGAGATCCCACATTAGTTTGAGAGGGGAACGAAATATTCTTTACAAGGGTGAGGAAATCACTCCCTAGCATACGCATTTTAAAACCTTGAGGGGAAGTCCAGAAGGGGGAGCACCAAAGAAGACAATATTTGTTAGCAGTGGGCTTGGGCTGTACAACAACTCCCACATATCCAGCTTTAATTACATCAGATCTGGTAAAAAATTGATGCCAAAACAGTATCATATCAACTTGAGTAATTTAAGTTTCCAATAATTATTTCTCAAATTCTGAATCCCTTTTCAAGAACATGGTCTGCTACTAGTTCGCAAGAAACTAGGTATGGGATCGAATGACTGAAATAAGAGGATACAAAATGTCAATATTGTCAATCAGAGGTAACTCAAGAAAACTGGACAATAACCTAAGTGAAGATTAACATAGAACTGTCAATATTGTTCTCATGTTTCACTCACCATTGATTTCCCCCGCATTCAACTGCCACTGCTACTAACAATCCCACAACTAACACTCTGAAAACTTTAGCAAAACCATATTACAAATCTTTATACTAATTAACCTAGACACACAATAGTATTCCCATAATTAAGGCCATCATTTCCTTTGGAAACCAATCAACCAGTCTACTTATATATAGAAAACTTAATTATGGACACACTTGAGTTTGTTCCTATGAGATCCCACATCGGTTGGAGAGGAGAATGAAGCATTGTTTATAAGGGTGTGGAAACATCTCCCTAATAGATGCGTTTTAAAAACCGTAAGGGGAAGCCCAAAGAGCACAACATCTGCTAGCGGTGGTATAAGAGCCGGACACCAGGCAATATGCCAGTGAGGAGGTTGAGCCCCGAAGGGGGGTGGACACGAGGCAGTGTGCCAGCAAGGACGCTGGGTCTTGAAGGGGGTAGATTAGAGGGTCCCACATCGATTGGAGAAGGAAACGAGTGCTAGCGAGAACACTGGGCCCCAAAGGGGAGTGGATTTTGAGATCCCACATTGGTTGGGGAGGAGAACGAATTTATAAAGGTACGAAAACATCTCCCTAGCAAAAGGGAAAGCCTAAAGAGGACAATATCTACTAGCGGTGGGCTTGGGCTTGGGCTGTTACAGTTCTCTCCCAAATTTAAGATAAAGAAGGGGAGGAGGGCAGGGCAGGGCGACGCGTTATTTCAAGCTAGACATAGTGTATACATCCCAGCGCAAAGTGCATTTGCTCATTGTTCTTAACCAGGATTCAAAAACTCAAAGTTCCCAATAGTACAATGTATATCTAATAAGTAACATCTAGAATTAACAACAATTCAGCTACTTGATATGGGAAATCTAAGATTTTCATAATTAAGTCAAAGATACGGCCGATTCCTTACCAAGACCCAAGGCCGATGCAAGAACAGGGTTACTGGGAAGCAGTTTACAAACACCAAGCAACAGTGTGGCTGAGACTCCCCCGGCCAATAGTGACTTTTGGCTGCCACCTTTCAAATATCCCATTAAGCCACCAACTGCCAAGTAAAAACACAAAGGACTGAATTAAAATTGCAATTGCAACCAAGAACATAATCATTATTCCATTTCAGACAGACTAAAAATTGAAATCTAAGTTTCAAATTTATAATGAATAAATAAGGACCTCCTACTAGTGCAGCATATCCAAGAGTTAATTTCTGTGACATTGACAAAGCTTTCTTCCCGCTGTTGGTGTTAGATTCCTCTTCCTCCCCGCTATTGCCTTCATTATCGCCTCTACCACCTTTTCCTCCACCGCTACCACCTCCTCCATCGCCGTGAATCCCTTTATCGGAAGAGTCGCCGCCAGTGGTGTCTGGATAAATGTCGATGTCTTCATTTTTGGAGTCGGTGGCACGGATAGCAGATCTTACTGTCTTGCAATCAAAGGAACTCCCTGCAGAAAACAGGGGATAAGAAATCTGAATTGGAATGAATCCGCTGGCAAAATGATGAACACGGCCCAATTCTACAAAGAGATTCATATGACGGTGCCGTAAAAACACGATTGCTTACCTCTACGAATGGTAGAAGATTGAAATTGCATGCGTCGAACAGAAAAAGTGTTGATCCTGAGAGCTCCACTGACACGCGGCGAGAAAAGTAACGACGCCTGAGACAGTCCGGTCAATACTGCCGCCATTTTCCTTCTTCCTCAAGAAATTCCCGTAAATCTCCAGGAGGGGTTTTGATTTACAAGCAGGTATATTATAAAGGTCAAAATATTGATTGTCCAAAACTATTTCTTAATTTCCTTCCAAATTGCCTAAGCTTAGCTCAACTATATCTCATCATCAGAAGAATATTCTTAATTCAAACACTATTTTGGTTCCAATTTTTGTTTTTGATTCATTTTCCAATTTATTTTGCACCCAAATTTTCAATTAGATTCTTAAATTAAAATTAATGTCTATTTTATTAAAAAAAAAATGACACTAATATGTCTTGTATGTCTCGCCACCCGCATCGAAATAGTGCTTTACCTCTAGATGTCCAATCAACGGCTGCGCCTCAATACATTTCGGAGAGGCATTTCACCCCAACCACAACTCATCCACTGATTCTTCAACATCAGTCGATTCGAACCTTCACTTAGTTTCACCCAAGTTTCATCTCAGTCATGGATAAAGTTCATAAAGACCCAATTGACCCATGAACTCACCATTAAGTGAAATGAACAAAACACACCTGAACTCACCATTATTATAAAGTGACAATTACAAGCATCTCTTTCTTTCTTACTTTCCCCTCTCTTTTGTTATTCATGGAAGAATAATTAAGCTTCTCAAGCATTTTCCATAGCCTCTGCTAATCAAGCAGCATGGATTATTCAGACTTAGAACTAGAAAATCAAGACGACGATGACGACAACACAATATCAAACCACACCCACCATAATTTCAACCCTACTCGAACATCATCTACACAAACATTAACCGAAATTATTCACCACAAACCCCCCGGGCCTATAGTGTTCATCTATGAGGCGGATCCACCGTCCTAACATTCACGCCTGTCATTCCTTCAATCCTATCTTTGGTGATCTCCACGAAATGTCCAACTATTTCATAGAACTGCTTTAGCCCCGACAATGGGAGAATGATCGAAGAACGATCTGCCCCTGCAACCTGCAACCGATACGGATATGACGAGTTTCATATCAAGACACTGAAGAAAGGCACCATGGGGTTCAAGACAGACAAAACCAGATCAAATAAGCATCAAAATAAGGATCTTAAGCTCAGTTTTTTTGTATAATTACCTCAGATATCCTCAAAAAATGACCCCGGTTGTTACTTCCGAGATCGAAAAAGAATCGCTTCTGATCAGCTCGGATAACTTTCGATACCCCCAGATTGCCCATTTCATCTTGAGCTGATAAGTCTACTTGTCTGTCTACATTCAAG